CTCTTTATATAAAGTTGGCATGTTCTTGCGAAATTAAATTAGTTATTCTTTCTGCTGGAACACTATTTTTTTTATATATTTCATAGTTTCAGAGAAAATAAATCAACGCTTCTTATCAAAGTAAATTAATAAGAAAGCAAATTAAATATGTACTCAATAAACTGAATAACAAATAAAAATATGAAAAATATTTGCTACTTTGCAACAAAAACTCCTCAGCAGAAATAATCTCTGGAAAAAGATTTTCTCTCTGATATTGAGAAAACGCGCGGTGTCGATTCGATTAAACGACTTTAGAAGTGAACTTAAATATGTAGTTTTTTGAGCTAAACGAAAGAAAAAAACTTACAAATAATAAAACAAATTGAATTGGTTACAGCAGCATTTCTCAAACTGTGGGGTGCGCCCTTTAAGGGGGCGTGATAACTCTTCGAGGGGGGCGCGAACATATTGAAAAATTGAGAACAAAAGATTATTTAAAAAAATTATTAATTTACTGCAAGTAAACAAACAAAATACATTCGGACACAGTAAAAAATAAAATTAACGATTGCACTGATGTAATTGCACGCTTATAAATGATCAGTATTGTACAATGTATTTTATAATTATTTAACAATACTAAGAAACATTTTTATAATTACTAGTGCCCCTATGGGCTTGTCATATATAAAGTAATATATAAAAATTAACACTAACTGATGCATGGAATCGTGCATTGAATTACTTTAAAATTGGGATATTTTCTATAGCGACACATTTTCTTGGATGAATATTTGGAATTATATAATCTTTAACTGAAATGTCTGCAAAACTGACATTTCTAAAGACGATATGAGTATCTGAGCTAATATCTTACTATTTCATTCTATAGCATGATGATTTTGAAAGGCTTTGCGTCCCTGTCCTGCTTTTGAATGTTACACGAATTTATTGCATGTATGCACGTGAGTGTTTATGAGTACGCGTATATTTGTTTATATGTACGTGAATATATATTTGGACACAAATACATACTTGTGCCCCTGTACATACTTGTGCCCCTGTACATACTTGTGCCCCTGTACATACTTGTGCCCCTGTACATACTTGTGCCCCTGTACATACTTGTGCCCCTGTACATACTTGTGCACCTGTACATACTTGTGCACATGTACATACTTGTGCTCCTGTACATACTTGTGCTCCTGTACATACTTGTGCACATGTACATACTTGTGCTCCTGTACATACTTGTGCTCCTGTACATACTTGTGCTCCTGTACATACTTGTGAACATGTACATACTTGTGAACATGTACATACTTGTGCACATACATCAGTGTGTGCATGTGCGTATGGATATGCATGTGTGCACGTTTGCATGTGGATATGCACAACATATGTGCTTGTATACATGTATGTACTGGATGTACGTGTGTATGTGCGCGAGTGTATCTATGTGTTCTTGTGTATTCACGTGCGTGTATGTGTAAGCATGTGCATATTTGTGTGTATGTAAGTGCGTGCGTACGTACGTATGGGCGTGTTATATATATATTCGTGTGTGTTGATAAATTTTAGTTATTTTAGTTTTAAGAATTTAATTTTATTTTAATTTTAATAAAAACTGGAAATTCTGATATAGAAACTAATTTATAGGAAAACACACACATTTCTTTAAAAATTTATGCAATTAAAAAAGCAACCGTATTTGAAAATTATTTTTACAATTTTTGAAATATACCCGTATATTATATTCATGCAATAATAAAAAATATCATTTTATTTCAGAATTGAAAAAAATATTACTGATTATATTATGACTTCAATTACACGTAACAAAATATCGTATCCATTTCCTTTCTCAGGACTAATAAATGCAATAAGTGTATTAATACTATTCGAAAGTTAGAAAGTAAGTTCATGAGAAACATTTTCTTGTCAAGAAATAATATACTCGTGCATGACTAAAGAAAAGATAAAGAAGACACTGATGTATAAGGTTTAGATTATCTCAAATAACACAAAACATCCATCATTATTAAAGATGATAATGATCTACGTGATACATCTTTTCAATGGCAAAAATATAGGCTGTTTATGAGGTTTTGAATGTAATACAACTACGGGTGCTCTTTTTCCTCCTAATATAATTGGTTGTATTCTCAAATTGAATGCGTAAGTTTTGATTTCGATATCTTCTTTCGAACTTCAAGTAATTCGCGAGGATTTTTGAACTACGAGATTTGATAGCGCAGGATTGTGGCTTTTTGAGAGTATGACTAAGCGTTTCGGGATAGTGCTGATCTTAATTTGCAAAGTTCCACGATTGTCATTAGAACATGGAATCGTTAGGTTCAGGAGGGTCTCTTGTCAAGAAATGTCTCCTGAGAGACATGCAAAATTTTAACGGATTTCCATTATTGACGCTTGAAAAAACAAGATTTCTCAATCGGTTCAGCATGTAGTGTAGTCTCATTGATGTTAGTGATAACCATTGGCTTAACGAAGGATATTAGTCCCCCCTCCTCCCTGAAAGTCAACGTTTGCCTTATAAGTAGGTTAAATACGTACTTGGTCTCAGTCAGGCTTTGGGCGTCCTAGAATCCTTGATATATCTGCGATGCGAGGGGTGTACGTTACGCCACTGGTGCTACCCTTTCATTTTTTATACAAAGAAACGTAGAGATGTCCCTACAGAAAGAGACTGTCATTTCTTTTCTCACACATGGAGGCGAAACAGCTGTGATATCGGCTCATAGACGAACTGATGTTACCCCTCTTATTCTTCTCTGGCACTCGGAGGCAAACACAAATGCCAAATGACATTTTCTTCACAACGATCTACAGAAGGAGTACACCTGTTTTGAAGGCTGTCCATTCTTTTGTTCCCTCACACATGTCACCGTGACACATTTGAATGGAAAAGAGTGACGGCTTTTGTAAGGAAGAAATGTAAGGGGGGGTTATCCCCTATGTCGAAGTGACACAGTGATTTGTAGACCCTCCATCTGGTTTATGAGGAACGACGACTTAGAGTATCTTACTCCAGACAGACTTTTGTCCCTGAAGAACCAATGGAGTTTGGGACCAAGACAGAGGGTGCCAACTGCCAGACCCGTGTTCGTCGCCAATAAGAAACTTTTTGGGAGGGGGGGGGGAAGAGGCCTACCAACATGAGGTTTAAAAAACGTTTCGAAAATTGACCGGAACTTCGGCAAGGCCAGCGAAAGAGGCTATGGGGCAACCGCATCAGCGATTGGACTTTTGTGATACGAGGGCGAGACATGAGAGATAACCAGAGATCGGGAAGCTCAGAGAATTGGGATGTGGACTTGATATTTTCTCTAGTAAAAGGCTGCGGGGCAGGAAGAATAGATACCATAACAATGGTGTAAAGTTTCTACTCAAATTTGTAAATATAATATTTTAACAAATATTTATTTTTTATTTTACTGTGATCTTTCTCACTACCCAGGAATTAAGTGAACTTGGGGGTCCAGGCACTATAAGACCTTGAGTTATGAAACAAGCTTGTTTACTGCACGATAAATATTTGCATGTTATCTTTCAGCATAATACAAGATCGCATATTGCCCCTTATGTGCTGAGTTACCTTGATACAGAGAGAGTTTTGTTTGTGTGTCCTAGGTAACACTTTCTCCGGATCTCTCACCCTTTAGAAACATCCGATCATGAGTTTTTGAGGGACCCCAGTTCTCTTGCAGCTATCATTGATAATGTTATGTCTTAGACTCGAAGCAGCATGACTTGCCCATATATCATCCATTTAGACTCGCTGCCTAACCAGGCGGTAGTTATTTTAGCTGCCAGAGGCTGTAGCTAATTAATCTAATTTGGATTAATTACCTTAATCATGTTTTCCTCTTACTGTCTGCTTTCCTTTTGGAAGGGTTAAAACAAAGACCAGACACTGTACTACAGGAAATGCCTAGGTTTTCCCATCACTGAAATTCCTTTTTCACCCCATTTTTATGAATCTCAATTATGTTTGAATAGGATCAGTTCGTCTCTTTAAATATCCTCTCTTAATTTATCAGATTGGTTTTTTGTAATCATTACAGGGAAATAATGAAAAGGACTAAAGAGAAACATTTCCTTTTGAATTCTTCAGGATTTTTCGTCTAGAATACATTTTTTGAAGAGTTTGTTTCATAAAATATCATTCATAAAAATCATATTATTAAGTTTTCAATCATTGAAAAAATACTTTATATTCATCCATTTGTTGTGACTTACACTACTACCTCCCTGTATATATGAAAATACTGCAGGATGTGTAGGTGGACTTAAATAATCAAAAGACATAATTGCAATTCAAATAGATTTATTGATTCTTATCAGCAAATACGTTTAGACACACACTAATCAATTTAAGAAAAACAAAAGAGAGTGGAGAAACTTCGCGGGGATTCACTACTAGCGGAATATTCAGAATATCAACTGAATCTTTTGGAAAGCTTAAACGCGCACCATTACAGCTACGCCACGTACGAATAATCTCAATATCTCAAATAAAATCACTGACCTTATATTTTACATTGGTTGTTCCTTCGTGATGACTTCGGCCTTTTTAATGGCTGGAAGAATGGGTGAAGAATCCACGCTCACACACAGTCATAAGGATTTTCACTATATTCAATCCACTTCTCGCGTACCTCCACACGTAACAGGCGATCTACGATTGTCAACTTCATGCTGACGTCTCGATCTTTAATTCACTTAACTTCACTCTTCCTATCACTTAATTCGCGTCGGTGAAGAATGGTTGAAATAAATGAATTTTCTGAAGGAAAATAGAGGAGGTTAGTCAAAGACCGTATAGATCCGTCACACATTCAAGTTCAAATATATTTTTTGAACTTGTAGTGGATGGCAATGGATGTTAACAGTTTTTTAAATATGAATTCATTAATTAAATTTAAAAAATTATAAGTAGTAACAAACAAAAATAAGAGTCCAACAGCATATATAGAAAGCATAATCGTTCGCGCTGTGTCCCTGCAGCGCAAAGAATCGCGCGTTGGGCTTCTAATCCAAAGGTCGTGGTTTCGAATCCCACCTGGGATGGCCTAATTTTTCAGAATGTGATTTGTTTTTTACTATCCTATTTTATTAGAATAATTTAATTAATGAATAAATAGTAAAAACCAAAAAGCCATATATGGAAAGGGAATGGGAAAATGTTGTACAAGGATAATCGCTTACTATTTTGTCACTTAATATTGTGATTCTGTCATATGTATATACATATTTATAAGTAACTAAAATAAAAATTTTCTTTGTTGACGTAAGTAGGAATTGACTTAAATTTGTTTTTATATTACTTGTATAATTTAATATCGCTAAATAGAAATAAAACCAGTTTTCGCTTTTGAATTTAATGTATATATCTACATAACATTATAAAAATATCATTCTGATTTCGGTACATTAATGAAAAAAGCGTTATTTCATTGGTTTAATTTTTGATAGCGGAAATTATAAGTTAAACTATAAAATTTGCACTTAAAAATTCCTCTTAGCAAAATGTTTTAAAAATTTACAGGCATTTTAATTACTCCATTCAAAACTCGAAATAAAAAAAAAATTCTTTTCGTACGAATTAGAAAGTTAATTAAAATACTCATCGTAAATTAAATTTTTAAATAACCACCAGTTAAAAAGTTAAAAATTTAAACCATTTTTATACATAACTTAGAAACTTTTATACATAACTTAGAAGCAGAAAATTAATAATGTTAATGGTTCGTCGTAACTCTAGCGTAATAACCTTACCTCACAGGACTTCCTCGAAATGTTATGCATTAATGACTCTATATGCTCTCTTCGAATAAAACAGAAGCAAACTCCTTCCCGAAATGATTTTAAACAAGAAAATGAACGTTTTAGAGATCTTCTTTCCTTCCCCCTCTTAATTCCAAGCTAAAACATCGCTTATCGAATAAAACAAAATTAACTTTTAGAATTTAATAATTAGATTGAACATGCATGGGGTAATATGGAATAAGATAGAAATTAAGCATCCCTCGTGCGCTCCATTTCTTAATAAAAGCTGGAATTCATATGTATCCGCAATTCAAGAAATACTTAATTAACTTTTAAGACCGTTATTTGTACATCCCAGGAACATAAAATTGAATGCTGAATACCTATACACACATCCATCTATCCATACATTCCTCGTGAAGAGCGAGAACTTGGACTAGAGTTAAAAAAAAATATTTTTACTTCGAAAGAAACTTATTCAAAACACCACGGCTCTTTTTCTTAATTCTATCAATTTCTCTGAAGAGTATCGAGGGAAGAGGGGAATTTACGCTTGGGATGATACTTCAGTATGGGGCCTCTGCTTTGAATTAAATTGAATTTCGTTGTAAGTGAGGGGTATTTAAGAACATGCACCAGATTAATTTCATTATCATACCATTGCCCTGTGAAGGCGCTGCGAGTGTCTTGGGTAATCTTGGGAAAGTTTGTCAATTTGGGGAGAGGGATTTCGCCTTTTAGCAATTCCGAGCATCTGATGTATGTTTGCACCTTAATTATGTCAATAACCATTACCTCCATTTACCTCGAGATCGGAGTTATAAATAGAATTATCAGGAGGGATTAGCTGCCTTGCTTGATGAGGTTCACTAGTAAAAATATAAAGAAATCAATATTTTTCATATTTTCTGACATAAACTGGCTCCCTGCCTTTCTAATTAAAAATACAAGCACTTTTTTCTTCTTTTTCCTGTGGAGGAGCTTTAATTTTTACCCGAGTAAGCGCGTGTCGTACTTTTTATGACACGATAGTTTCTGTAATTCCCCTTTTGCAGGAGCAGTGATAGCAGTGGTGGCGTAATGTATACCCCCACGCTGGGGGGGGGGGTATGGGCAGGATTCTAGAGGACCTAAAATGCCTGATGTTATGGCTTTGCAATTCATTCTGAGATCCAATTTGAGGCCCCAAACCTGACTTTTTAAGGGATAGGGGCTATTAATTTCCAATACGCCACTGTATAGCCGTGTGGATATGGTCATGGTCTCGAGGTCAGTTAATTCTCATTTTGAGTTCTGATGCCTCGAAAATCTATTGTGTAGAAGAGTGTGACACATTTTGAGTCTGTCGTTGATCAAAGTCCTCACGTTTGCACGGCTTGGAAGTTAGGTGATAGGGGTACCAGCTTAAGGTGTCATGCTCATCACTTAACCAAAGTTCAATCTATGAGGCTGGCCATCAATAGCCATCGAATGCTTGAATCTACTTTTGCAGATGAAATATATCAAGCATTATAATAACGAAAGTTAGCAAACTATAGGATACATAACTACGGGAAAATTATATTTTTAAATATTATTAGAAAACAAAAATACCTAATTCATATGTTATTTTGGGTAGGATCAAAAAATTTGTTCGTACATTCAAAATTTTATCAAATGTGTGTTTCATAATATACATAGCTCTTATTTTAAAAAATTATATAGTTCCATGCGTTTCTTAAGTGTTAAAATAAACTTTTATTACGTTTTTCTTTTCATTTTCCAGCTCTTTAAGTATTCTAATTTATAATATATTATGATTTCAACTTTGTCAATATAAAAACATTCCTCACTTTATTTTTAGACAGCAGTCGTCAGATAAACATTATTCAGATTGTTGGTATTGCTTACTATATTATTGCCATTTATAAAAACGCTTGATCTCTCCTTTTTTTTTTTTTTTTCAAATTTAACATTTTCTTTGGTAAAAAATGCGGTTCATATTTCATTTCTGAAATTTGAATGCTTTAGAGAAATCCTTGCATTAACAGAGCACGTTTGTATTAAATGTGCTTAAATTTGAAAGTCGCAATATCATGGGGCGATCATATGAGTTTGTAGTAATATGGGCCCATTTTAAATCTGAGGCACACACAAACTGAAATTGAATTGGGTTCCGCTCTTTATCGTTTGACGAAGACAGCTGTAACAAATTCTCCCCCGTTTTTATGAATGATGCACCAAAGTGGTGGGATCAGCAAGGTCGTGAAACATCTTAAGACACTCAATAGGAATTCCTCATTTCCGCAAAAAGGAACCCACCCACACAAACCGCCGTGAGAAAAAGCGATCCCAAAACCACATCCACAATTTTCCTCATTCATTCCGGTCATGTCTCGATGCTCTAATAAGGCTCAACACCGCAATAATTCCACCCATCGCTTTTATCGTTCGAAAAATACTCGCGCGGTTCCAGTACTCACCCCGAACAACAACTGATAAGAAGGGCGTACCTATAAAAAGAGAATTTGGGTGCCGCTTCCGGCTCCGATGAGTTGCTGCTTCATTGAGGACTTCTGAAGTAGCTTTATCGGTGCAATCAGAGAGGCTGTCCAGGCTTCACTTGGGGCGATTGAGATCTGGAGTCATCGATTGGAAGGAATTTAACCATGGGGAATAGTTGAAATAAATGACTCGAGAACTTCTTGTTCGATAATTCTATGCTTGTTGACTGGCCTGCGTCGATAAGGTTGGTGTCCTTGATTCGAATCAAGACTAAATCCCAAGTGAAGAAGTATTGAAGAGCTGTCAAGCGTGAATAAGTGAGATGATAGTTTTGGTTAATTCTTAAAGTTGAAGATGTTGAAATCATAAAAGGTTGTCAGGAGTAAATAATTTCTGGAATTTTTTTTGTCATAAGTATACGTTGAATAATGAACACGCATTTAGAAAAGTCCACAGATCCCCCCCCCCTCTACACCAAGCTTATATGAAATCGTAGCATTATTTGTTAAAACAGAAGCTAAAAATGCGCGTAAAATTATGAACTTGATTTAAGACATCAAGGTTTGTTGTTGGGTTGTTGTAATTGTGGAAAGTATACACAAAATAAGACGTTCATAAAAACATAATTCTTGGTGATTTCGGCTTTTACAGGTTTGTCAACCGAAACCTTTTAGAAACATAGGATTTCCAGTAAAGACTTTTGTGATTAGTCAGAATAAGCTGATGATACCTTGTCGAATCCTTATTTTTAAGACCACGACATGGCAGTTTTTTAGGAGATAGTTGTGATTATTTCCCGTTAAGTGGGCAAACTAAAAATTATTACTCAAATTCTTGGCAGGCTCAAAATCAATGTAAATTAAATAAAATCCTTCGAGAGAGAATTTAAGTGAATTATTACACATACACGCGCTTAATATTTACTTAAAATTCATATCTTGCATAATTTTTTTCTTGGTGATAATGCCGGATACCCTATTCGAAACACGTCTCATTTCATCTCGGTTTAAAGCATTAAAACCTGTATTTTGACGGATTTATTAGTAATTGTTCATTAAAAGGATTATACCTTGAATTTGAACAGCTTTATTTGGGATTTCTAGAAGAACAAAAAAATTATATAATATTTTACATTTGCCTTACTAAGCGGTTGAAAAGTTTCCCTAAAACAGTGATGTAATTTCCATAAATAGCTTATATTTCTCTTCACTTAAACACGTGATTATATATTTTAGATTACGTTTTTCCTTGCATATTTAAATGTGGAAGTTGGTCATTTATCTTTCTTGTATTTTTGAACTTGAGCGACAAGCACGCTCAAAGTAAATCTCTTGATGATTAAATTCAATAAATGATGATGTGATGAATATCAAGAAGTTTCTCAAAATGAGTACCATCTAATCGATACATTACTCAAATAACATACTTAAATGAAAACTCTGCCCTTTTCAACTAAGCTTGAAGTTTTCACTACAGTCTTCAAATAATTTTACACAGAATTTTTTTCAAAGTAAATTTCGCTGTTATACAGATTAATAACTTCAAAGCATTACTTTTTTTATTGTTAACACCCACTGAATATTCATGATGTTCTTTCTCAAATCTAGACCTAGCTTTCTACGTTACTTTTACTTATACTGCAATGTTTTTGTGCACACATCACGGCTCAACAATGTGAGGTTCTTATAGCAAACAATGTCAAATTAACCCTAGAAGTTATGAGAATCTACCTCAGTACTTTATAAAGAATGTATAAAATGTATAATTTGAACAAAATACTGATGTTTTAGTGACTTAATTGGGAAAATATTTATGAG